CACAGGGCAGCATATCAGCATGTACTTCCACCTGTGTGTAAGCACACAAGCCCCTCATTTCAGCCTTCTCCCACCTTCCTGTCTCCAGCTGGACTGAACAAGCAGGGGGTCAGCACAGGATGCAGAGGAGCACATCCCCTGGTGCTGAGGGACCACCTTTTCTTACCCCTTACCCAGTGTGGAAGGCAACAAGGAGGGGTAACACTACTCTGCCAGGGAGGCACACCACTGGAAAAGTCATGATCTTGGGAATCAAGAGAGCAAGCAGTAGCCTGATCACCTTTAATTGAGTGAGGCCTGGATTTAGGATACTGGTGACTCAGGATGTTGTCATTCCAAATGGAGTTTAGGTTTGCCTTTATTTAAAGTTATCACTTCTGCATTGCTTCTGTTTGGCTTTCAATTATGTTCCAAGTAAGTAATTTAAAATTCCTATGATTCATATTATCCCTGACTAATGGTGCCCACGAAGGAAAATTCTGGGAGTTTTGCAATGAAAACCATATTTAGTGTTAGTAGTATCCATATATAGTAGGAACTGACAGTAATAGAGGGAATGAAAAGAAATATGCTGGTAAAGACAGGAAGTGAAACCTCTAAAATGAGACTTTTTCCTGTGACATTTAAAGGGCATGCTAGAAATATTTTGGTGGGAGATCAAATACCACTGTTCTCCACATTTTGGTTTGATGTCTAATCATTCTTCCTGGTCAGGTTCTAGTGAGGAAAACCACAAACACATACGAAGCATCTTCTGTTCATCTTCTGGTTTTGTACTTGAAGCTTCTCCTCCCACTTCAGTGCCAACCCCTCCCAGCTTCCACATCACCATGGGGTTATTAATCAATTGTGATATCCACATGACCTCCAGTTTCAGCTCTCTTTGGTCCCTCTACTCCAAAAAAAAAAGCTGAACTATTTCTAATTGGCTAATTAGCTTATCCGGTTTGGCCCTTGATGCAAACCAGGTCTAGACATGATCTATTCCTGGGAGGCCCCTGGGTTCAAGGGGCCAATCTCACACCCTGTCCATCACTATTGTCAGCACAGTACCCTATCTCAAAGACATGCCAATGGACATTAGTGAGAGATTAAAATGACAGCCTTGGTTTTCTAACATGCCTTTTAATCATCGTAACATGCAGTCTAATGTTTCACTCTGTCTTCCTCTCCCTGCAAGAGCATGTTCTCAAGGAAGAAACCAGGAGGGATGAGAGCAGGTCAAAGACCACAGCAGGGTGAAAGCAATGGAAAGGAATTAAAATGGAGGGTGGGGGAGGAGGAGACAAGAGACAAAACCCAAGTCAGAATCTGGCAGCCAGACACGGAGCAACAAGGCTGGAATATAAATTCCTTCATATGGCTCCCCTAGGCTGACATCTTATAGGTACCACTCACATCAAACCAGCATGTCACCAACATGTGCCAATGCTTGTGTCTACTGCAGGCCACCTGACACCCATTGCCATACACCCAAAAGGTGGTTTTCACTAAGGCTGCACACCTAAACTAGTTCTGAGAAGAGCTGGGAGACATGGCTGCTCTGGAAACCAAGCTGCCTTTTTGAAGTGCCTGCATATGGATTTAGTAGCTGACTTTTAGACCTTTGGGTTTCTGAAAAAGTCTTAGCCTAGCCACTTAGCTGTGACTTTATGCAATTATTGACCATTTACACAAACAATCAGAGGGCTGCATGCAATAGGACTGTGTCTGAATTCCTTCTTGGTCTCTCTGGCAGTGAATAGTCGGCGGCTCTTACACAAAGCCCCATTCTTTCTGCAAAAAAGTGTCAGAGGTGAATGGTGGATGTTCCTGTATGAATATCTGCTAAACAGGCAGGCATAAAGAAGGTCTCCCTGTGCCCCAGTTGAAGATCTGTGGCTGTGTTAACAGCATGCACAACCAAAGTTAATGACTGCGCTTGTCCAAGACTTCCTTGTGCTCGGTCAGCTCTGAATGCAGACAGAGCAAGTTCACACCTGCCTGCAAAATACCATATGGACATCATCTGTAACAAATTTGTTCAGATGGTTCATTTCTAAGGGGCATTCAAACTTTTCCTGGATGTGTGTTTTTTCCTCTCTTAGTCATGCTTTTACTGAAAATTTTAGCTAGGGTAATACTAACTCCTTAGTTTTTCAGCTCCTTGGTCCAAAACTATTTGGCTGGTGGGATGTGTGAATTCCTTTAGCCAACCAGTGGAGCATGTAATTAGCTCTATATGCACGAATGAATTACGCATATGTTTTGCTATGTGGCTTCAGCTGGTAACTAAGCATGAGAAGTTTCCAGCTAGAAAAGGAAACCGGTGAGAAAGTTAGGAAAGGCTGTGAAGTGGGCAATGCACAGAACATCTCTGGTTTTTCTTGCTCCCTTTATGCTACATACCTGATTCTGCCTGTATCCTCATTTTTTAGGCTGTGCTTTCCATGGAATACAGGTTCTTCAGAGGATGTTGGGAACATACTGCAGGATGCACAGTGTTTTCCATGCATCACATTTTGCTTTCACTCAGCATTGAGTTTGGATGACTTTTGTTGATCCAGTAAGGGTTAAGCTCAGCCTGCAGCAGAGGTTCGCATGAGTCCTGCTCACCCATTCCAGCCCACCTGAGCAGGAGATGGAAGCAAAGCCTTGCAATCGCACCTGTCCAGCTTATGAAGTTCCTGTTTTCCTGTGTGGGTGTTGCTGAGGCTGTTATAATACACAGTCAAACAAGTTTTCTTGAACCTCTTCACAGTCCAGCTACATGGCGTACTGGAAGACCTTCCTGCGAAGGCAGCTGTCTTACTGAACTCCTGTGCTGCTCTTCTCCTTTTTGTTGCCTGTTTAGCAATTCTCTAAGGATGCAAGCCTTAAAAGCACGCCAGAGTTGAGAGAAATTTCATGGTGGTAAGCCTTCTCTCAGTCCATTATAGCAGTACACAGCTCATGTTGAGTTGGCTTTCCCTGAACAAGGGGAATGTAACCCTGCTGGTAGCACTATTATATTATTTATACAGCAAGTTACAGTGCAGAGTTCAGACTTCTTTTTTACATGTCTGGGTGGAAAAAATTATTAGAATGTTTTGCATAAGCAAAATTTATCCTCTCCATTTCAATAGTCAATTTTTGTAATGCACCCTGGCATGTTGGACTAATTTTTCTTGATATAGATAATAACCTAGTACACAGACTTCCCTCCTGTTAAAATCCATCCTGCTTTTTAAAGCAATACCATGCCCAGATGGAGTAGGATGGATAGAAACAAATATTTTCAAAGTGAGGATCCCTTAGCATACTATCAGATTTCATTTTATTTTATGGTGAGAAAAAGTCAGAAGTTGATTCAATGTAAATGCTGATGTGTTTCTCTAGCATTTCATACTGAACTATGGCATCCAAGGACCAAACTGGGGCTTCCTGAAGCCAGCAGAAGTCTTTGCACCATTTCTCTGGTTCTCAGGCATCCAAATGAGAGCTATCCAGCTAGGCAGCACACATGGCGCCTTTTCCTCTGACCTCCCTCTGAAATTACACACGAGGCCACACATTTGGCAGATGGGCTGAACAGCAAGCATTTCAGCCTCTTACAGATGTGGTTAAAATATCTTAATGTATTTAAACAAAGTGTAATGTCAAAGTAGCATAAATACCATATTTCAGCAAAATGGCTGCTACTCCGGGGTTCTGCTTGTTGATGCCAAATGAAATACTTACCACTGTTTATTCACAAAATTCTTTCTTTTCCACTGAATTTTCATATTGCTGGGCTGGGCCAAATAATCAGTTTCCTTTTAAAATAGAAAAAACATTAGTGCATTCCAATAGGCTTTTCATGTTATGTTAGAAACCCTTGGGAATGCAGTGTGATTAACTTTTTTTGGTCTTAATTATTGCTTATGGGAGCCTACCTGTGGGGAGACTCTGAAAGGCACACAACAACAGGCCATGCACACTGAGGAGCTAAAGGACGAAGTCTGAAATGTGTGGCAGCCATTTGGTATATTAGTGGCAATTCCAGCCTTCTTAAACAGGATATCCTTTGTGTTAAGACCAACACCTGCACCACTTCAGAGATTAATGGGTAATTTCTTGGCAGTACTAGTGGACATTTCAGTTGTCCATTAGGATGATATAAAACCAGAGGAGAAATCTTTTTTGAAACTCATAAGCCTCCTTGACTGCCTGGGCAAAGAATAATGAAATAACAGAGGCCCCCTAAAGTATAAATCCTCCTCCATCCTCCTTCATTAGTCAAGTCTCTTCTGTGAATGAGTTAACTTTTTAAAAAATCATGTTGCTAAGTATTTTATCAAAGCAAACATTTAATCAAAGTGAAAGGAAGAGATACTAGTCCCCTTCTGGAATGGGATGGAGACTGCCAAGATGTGTTTTAATTTCTTAAGAAAACAAACTATGTCAAACACTGGGTTTTAAGCAAGCAGATGCTCATTTATCATTCATTTTGTCTGTGCACACACTTGGGATCCTGCTGAACACAAGTTTTCTGGGATGGAAATGACCATATGGCCAATACCTTAAAAATTAATTCAACATGCCCTGCCTCTTGTGCACATCACATTCTTTTAATGGTTCTTTTCTTCTTTTTTTTTCAGTGTTGGACAATGGAAACAGAACAACTGCCTTTGTGGGAGTCTGGTTCACTGCAAAGACAATCTATGACTGATGCTGTATGCTACCAGCAGATTTTGGATACTTTGCAAAGGCTGTGATTTCATGGCCCCACTTCTTTCAGAGGTTTTCTCACAAAAAAACCCAAACAAAACACCAGCTTTGCTACTGTTTTAGGTGTTGTGAGAGGGCCCACAAGAAGTGGCCTGCAGCTGCCTCAGGGCTATGTTGGTGTGCTCTAAGCTGAGCACTGGGTGTGTGGTGTGCCAGAGATGTCCAGGAATGACTGCAGTTCATATACTCACCAGGTGCTGTGTGAACTCCTCATACATCACAAAACAGCTAAAGTTTGCTGACTAAGGAAGATGTGAGCAAACAAAATAGGGTAGCTTTACGAACTCAAACTCTTTATTTGCAGGTACAGTTACCACACTCACTGAAGATTCACATGGTAAATTGATTTCAGAAAGATCTTTTGTTGCAAAATTAATGTAAGTGCAGTTATGGCCATGGGTCCTGATGCAGTTAAAAGACATCCAATGGAACACAACTGTACGTCAATGGAGACTGTAGTTTTCACCTTCTTCATAAAGATTCAAGTGGCAGCCAGGAACCTGAAACACAGCTCAGTGACATTATTTATAGATATCCACTTTATCTTAGCCACAGCAGGGTGTTTCCCTAGTCAACAGAGTATCATTTTGTCTGTCTGCTGATAGCATCCCTGTCCTGCCCCCTCTGCTGCTTTGTTCCTTTGCCTCCCCTCTGCCAGGGATCACTATTCACCCACTCGTTTGTGAAGAATTGCCCTAAAGCTCTACAAGCAAGAAGAGACACTGCCAAGCATTAGGGATGAACATTATCAGCAGGGTATACTGTGACTGGTCACGCTACTGACACCTTTGACACCTCGTAAACCCAAATTTGAAACCATCACATCCCAGAAAAATCATTTGCTGACCCGTGCTGGTGCAAACAGCAACAGCAGAAGTACCTCAAGTCTTCACACACAGCTCACAGGTTTGATGCTCTCTATTACTGGATGCCATAACAGCAGTCAACTATAAATACCATGTACCCTGCATGTGACACAGCTGGGGCTTGAGCCTGGAGTTAAGGGAGCAAGGATGACAGGAATGAGAAAGGAAGAGTATCTGTGTTTCAGTTTTCCTCTTGCCTTCTTCCAGAGGATGTAAGCTTCAGTTTCTTCAGATTGAAATATCTGAAGAAATACCTGCTGTCTGGAATGTTCCCAGGGAGCTTCCTACCAGGGAAGCAACCAGACATTTGTCTTCTAAACAGCACTTAAAGCCCTGATTTTGACTTCAATAAGGACATTAGTCATAATATTAGGGAACAAGGGAGTAGACTATTTCAGTTGAAAGGGACATGTATGATCATGTAGTTCAAGTGCCTGACTAATTCAGTGCTAAAGAAGGTAAATCATGTTAAGGGCATTGCTCAAATGCTTCTTAAATGGCATTGATCACCTGTCTGAAAGCTTGTTCAGTATTTGAAAATTCTCTCAGTAAAAAAATGCTTCCTAATATTCAGTCTAAACCTCGCCTGATGTAATTTTGAACCACTTCCATATGTCCTATCCCTGGATCCCAAGGAGAAAAGCTCAGTGCCTCCCTTTCCAATTTCCCTTTTCAGGGAGCTGCAGAGATCAATGACATCACCCCTCAGATTTCTTTTCTCCAAACTAGACAAGTCCTCATAGCACATTCCCTACAGCCCTTTTGCCAGTTTTATTGCCCTTATCTGGATCCAAGGACCTTCACATCCTTCTTCACCTGTGAGGCTCAGAACTGCATACAGTGCTCAAGGTAAGAACAGCAGACAGCAGGATAATCACCTCTTCTAACCTGCTGGTTGTGCTGTGTTTGATACATCCCAGAATGTATGGATGCTAAATGTGAGCCGAAAGCAGGGAGAACAGTGCCTGTAGAAAAGCAGGCCACATAATTTTCTCAGTCTTGCCTGAGAAAGTGTCCTGGGAAATCATAAGGAGGAATTAAAACAATCCTCAGAGATAGAAGACAGCCTTGCAGGTGTTGTTTGTCAGTTTCTTGTTTTCTTGCAAGAGAAGGTCAAGGGGTGGTGTACGCCACTATGGTGGTGTACGACCCATGATGGCGATGTGTTAGTTCACTGACCAATAAGAGTTTTACCTTTCTGGACTTTCGCATATCAGTCTATAAAAGAAGATCTGAGGTAATATACCTCGCTCTCCTGTTCAACTCACAAGAGAGTCCGTGTCATGCTTCTTAGCTGTTCCTAATCTAGAGCGACGAGGATGTGGTGCCCTCTTGGGTGCCAGGGCTCACTGATGGCTCACACTGAGCCTGCTGTTGGCCAGCACCCCCAGATTGCTCTCTCAAGCCACTCCTCTCCCAATTTATACTTGTGCTCAGCATTACTCCAGCATTACAACTTGTTAGATTTCATCCCATTAATCATAGCCCACTGCTCCAGTCTATCAAGATCACTCTGCAAGACCTTCTGTCCCTCAAGAGTCAACAGCATCTCCCAGTTTGGCATCATCAGCAAACTTGCTAATGGTGCATTCAGCTCCTACATATTGGATGTGATAATGTCCTCTGCAAATAAAAGCATACTGATACTTGTTATATTACTCTCTTTCTTTTTTTCTTTTTTCTGGTATTTTTGGTGTGAATTTTATATTTTATTTACCATTGTAATTTTAGAAAACAATTCATTGAGGTGTGGTCATATGTCACATCTCAGTGAAAACTGTTTGAACTGCAGCCTTCTCTAAGGAAGTTAGTTATGTGCTTTGAATTACCTAGACATCACATTCATATGTCTGATTTTATTTTTTTTTTCTGGTAATGTCACCTTATAGTCAGCATCCAGGAAGGTTAACTGACTGATAGGGATGGAAAGTACAGCCCATCATTAGAAAGACAGAGTCTGCATGGTGACAATCAGTAAGAACTTTCCTCCAGCTCTGTCTTTTCTTGCTTTCTGCAGTAGTTACTCTATTTGTCAGCTGTCTACTCTAATCCTCAGAGTCTTTGATTTTCCAACCAGTGGGAATAGACTTTGGAAAAAGAGACTGGAGCTGTGAAAACTGACAGCCAAATCTTACCAACACTCTTAAAAAGATACCTAGGTATACCCAAGGAAGAGCTCATTCACAGAAGAGCCAAGATGGGTTCACGGAGAAGTAAAGATTAGCAACTAGTGATAGTTTCAAAAGTCAGTAGCAAGTGCCTGGATAGATGGTAAATATTTATTTTAAATAATAATATTTAAAATACACAGATGGTCTATAGACAAGTGTCCTATCCAACATGCCCATGAGTCAGTGATTGATCTGAGAAGAGGATCCAGGTTTCTTACTGGCTCCTATCACCCTCTATGCATGTCAGGCCATGCACTCCCCCTCAGCAGGTTACCATTTCTTTCGCAAGAAAGATGTATGTCTTATCTGCACTGCTTCTTTATAAACAGGTCATCTGATTTCACTGCTAAGGGGGCATCTGTAGGATCAAGATCACACTCCATCTCCAAACATCTGATTGCTTGCATTGGTCATAGTCTGGCTCACACATAGGCCAATCCCACTAATCTGCAGGCCGGGGACACACAGACTCAAGTAGAGTGCTAACCAGGACTTGGATCCTGCCCCCATGGGCAACATGGGTCCCAGCAGGCTGGCCCATGCCCTGCACTGAATCCTCTAGCCAGCACTGGGTTCCAGTAGCCCTATAGTAAGCTGAAGGCTGATTTTCAACATGACTGTGAAGAACCTGGCTCACACATTCCTTTATGAGAGTTTGGCCATACATGTCTCAGAGTATTTTTTCAGGATTTTTTTTTTTTCCTTATCTCATGATTTGGTGCTTGTTTGTATAAAGTTTCTGAAACACAGTCCAAGCAGGTTGAACCTTGTGACTTGTGGCTGACTGAATACTTCTTTGCAAACAAATGTGCCATGACCAAACTGAAAACAGTGGGCTTCAGTCCCAGGGAGACCTCCTTTTGCTCTCCCTGCAAGCCTAGTAGCTTCCATAGTGGAGTCCATGTCTGCACACATCCAGAGGTCTCCCCTGGAGACGTCTGCAAGCTGCTCTTTGATCTGACACCCCAGCTGTCTCCTAATCTCCAGTCTTCCATAGCTGCATCATCAACCCTGAAGCATGAGCAGTCCCATGCCCTGTCCCTTGGTGAAAAGGCAAACGTTAACCATGGGGAAGAAATTACTACTCTCTTTTGGTTGTCCTTTCTGGCAGCTGGTGGCATTCCCACCATGTCCCCTTGGAAGTCCTGATCATTCCTGTCAGATTGCCTCTGTGCTGATAATTCAGTATACCAGCAGCACCTGTTACCCCAGTCCCTTCCTTCAGTGTTGGCTGCCTTGGGCTGGTACAGCAGGAACTTCCTGCATCACATCCTGCCTCCCAGGAAAGGCATGGTTGGAGTCTCTGCTGGTGAGTGAGCACATTCAGCATATCAGCTCATGCTCCATTCCCTGCATCTTTCCTATGGCTACATTTCAGCTATATGATCTCTGCGTAGAGCCCTTGGTGTGGCAAAGCCTGGAGTCTCCTTCTGCTGAAGGACTGTCTCCAGCCAGGGTAAGACAGGCAGATTGCCTAGGCCAGCTGGTGCCCTTCTGAGACCTTCTGTGCAGCACTGCTCTGGTGCTGACCTCTGCCGTCAGTGCACCTGCTTAGAAAGGCCTACAGACCCTCCTGGCTGCACCACAGTAACACAAAGTCTCCCTTGGTATTGTCCTTAGTACTGCAGCCCAGTATTTTTAATTTCCTGGAGATATGGGAGAGGAAGAACATTAGACAGGAAGATAAGCAGACAGCAGTTTTAAACTATCCCCTTTCCTGAATTTATATGTGTTTTCAGAGAAAATTTCTGTCTCAGAAGTGACATTTATCTTATTTTCCCCTCTTAGATAACTCACCAGGAATTCCCAGCCTCTCAACAAGTGGTAGGAGTGAATGTAAATATGTTTGTGTGCATGACCTCGATGCTGTCCATGGGATCTCTGTGCACCCCAAACTTGCTGTTATCTCAGGGCACCCGCAACTGTGGGTGACTGAGTTTGAACCATTACTTTAAAGGTACATTTTAGCCACAGAGGATTTTAACACCTTGAAAAATCAAGTGGTGAAGGTGCTCCATGTGTGTTTTGGCTTCCCAAGACTATAGTCATGTCATGTCATGTTCTTGAAACAGATATTGAGACATATTTTTTTAAAATTTGTTTATTTATAATAAATTATATAAATGCATATATGCTCAATATAAGTGAATTGTTAGTATTATTCCTTTTCTAATACTTCAATAAGCCTATTTTTCAGAAGTCCTCTGACATTTGAAAAGTTGGCCTCTCAGCCACATCTGTCCCACGTATGTTCTCTTATGCAAATCCCCCTGACAGTTAGCATCGATAGTCCTGTGAATGGGTTATGCAGGGTTACCTTGCTCACAGATGATTCATTTTCTCACCTGAAGAAGGGAGGTCTGGGAGTAAATATCTTGGGATTTCTCATTCCTGGGCTGAAAGGGAACTTGATGGTGTCTTGCATCCTGCAGTTTGTTTGGGAAGTTTGTCTTTGCACTTTCTACAGACCCTGGTTAATGTGATGTTGTTGCTCTGGTCATTGCTCTATCGTGCAATGTTTTCTGTTTCTGTCTTTGCTGACAAGGCCTGTAGCACAAGTCTAAGGGCAACGAGTAATAACAGGGATGAACAGAGTCATAATGACCGTCCTCTGGGCAAACAATTGATATGCTAATGACGTTGGTGAGAACGCAGCTCCTATCTACAAAGAGAAGGACTAGAGAATGAAAATAGGACAGAGCAAAGAACAGAGGGGATTAAAAAAATTAAGACTCTTGTGGGATTTTTCCAAGGACCTAGAATAATCTTTGTGGAGAAAAAGGGAAGGATCCAGTGTGATTTCATACAGGGAGGAAGTCTGGATTATCAGCAGAGCTAGCAGAGGAACTGATTCAAATTTAATACTACCCCACCAGGGAGAGGATATTCAAGTGCAGAAATCTGTGCAGAGCTTTTTATTTTAATTTTATCTTCTGTGTACTTCTGGTACTGAGTAAAGAGCTCAGCTGTTACTGAATCCTATCTCAACCTACATTTTCAAAACATCAGTGACATGCTCTAAACACTTATAAAGAAGCACCAGATTTCACAGGAACCTGTGGTCCTGAAGAATGGAGTTCTTTGAAAGTCGTGGCTAGAACACAAAACAGTTGTGTCTGAGGTTTCATCTCCACAGCACAGCAAGCAAAGTCAGTGATCTAGATCTGTTTTGAGACAGGTCATGGTGAAAAGGGAGCTGCAGTCAACCACAGTGTGTCGGGGCCCTGGGAACAGTTCTGTGAATGCCTAAAGAGGGGATCTGCCCTAGCCAAGTCATGGGCAGTTGCATTTCATATGATCATTCTTTTCTTTTTTTGCCCCCACAAATGATTGAACCAGACATCTTTTTTAGAAAAAAATTTCATTCTTGGCGAAAGACCTCAAAAAACGGAAAATCTGGAAGTCTCATGAGAATCTATTGCACTGCTAACACCCTCACAGTTAGAGGCTTATTTCTGCTCTTGTTTTTCCAAACAATGTGGAAATTTCAAAAAATGTGGAAATTTCAGTTTCCATAGTTCAGTGTAAAGAACCTCTCTATCTAGATACTTCCTTGTGCTGACACTTTTAAACCCAAATCAAATTGTCTTTTAGCTGTCCCTTTGATAGAATTTCTTAAATCTCTCTTTGTAGAGATCAATTTTCTTACCATGAACCACTCTCATGCAGTCTAGGATCTGAGTGGCACAAAACTGAGGGAAAAAACTGGGCAGACTGTTTTGAGAAAATACTTGGGAGATAGACTTTGTTATCTGATTACATTTGATGTTAATAAAAATTTGATTATGCAGCGATAAATTCTGCAGTTTGTATTGTTTTGAAATGACAAAAACGTGAGTCATTCATTTCTCTTCTCTATGAACTTCTTCCCTTTGAAACTATTAAAATAAGTATGATTATATTGCATCAGTATAAATCAACAGTGATGCCCTGTCCTGGTTACAATATATTGAGCTTTAATCACAACATCATGAGTTTTCTTTTTAGGCATTTTCAAAAGTATAAATCTCCCTTTCAGGGTGCTCAGTAGCAAAATTAGCATTTGCTTTTTGTCCCTGTTCTTCCAATTTTTTCATGGTTGTCAGTCCAAGTATTTGGCCTTCAGAGATGTCTGAGGGGAAGCATAAATCAGGCATATAAAATCCAGTATATAAAAATGTAGTTTCTCTTACATGCAAGACTGAAGTTCCTTTTTGCAGGTGTAAAAGTGGAAGTGAATCTCTGTTTAAAAGTTTGGTCACTGCTTTTTTATTGCAGAAAACTTTGCAACATTATGTTGCTACAGTGAGAAAATGGTTATTGGTCAGCTAAAGGCATTAAATTGTAACATGCTACTGCATCTCCCATAGAAGAAATCATGATCTCACGATGGAAAAGTTCACCGGGCTATATTATTACTGCAACTTGTCCTCTAAGAACAAGGGCAGAAGCTCGAAATGGATATGGTGCCGGCACAGTTACACATAAGAGTACTCTGCTATCCACATGCCTTTGCATCACTTCTCCTCCCACAGAAAGGTCAATGACAGAGAGGTGAGAGGATTTATGTACTTGGTGCCCTAGTAAGAAATTCTTTTAAGTAGGTTGGGCCTGGGCTGTAAACAGCCCCACTTATTTCAGATAAACATTATTAAGGTCATAAAATGTCTCAAGATTCATGCAGACTTCATGCCAGCTTGGCTGTGGCCCAGGTGCATCTGCAGTGAAAGCCCCCTGAGAACGGTTCGGGAGCTTGGGGCTATGATAAGTCAGAGCCTGAAAGGGGGTGCTTTGGGAGGTTTTGTGTCTGGTTCTGGCAGCCCAGCTTTCCATGGGATGAAAACACTGCAAAAAGAAAATGTGAGGTCCTCTGACTGTGAGTGACATCTCCAAGTCAATGGCTGGGGCATCCTGGTATTTGGGTTGATCTGAAAGTGCAGGTTTATTGTTTTGGAAAACAAGGCAGACAGTGGCATTGCAAGGTAAGGTGAGGTTCTGCAGTGCTGCTGGCTTCCACGTTCCAGTGTGCAAGGTTTTCCCAGTAATCCTCAGTAACTATTTATTGTACAGGCTTTCTTTTGAAAGAAAGAAAGGCCCTTCCTTCTCAGGAAAGTAACAGCTTCCTCTCCTTTTGCGAAATCACTGACTGCCTCATTTAGCTAGTAGTGGGGCCTGGTGCTTGCCCTCTTTTTTCTCATCCAGTGGCAAGGAACAGGTATGAGGAGAGGCTCAACAGTGCAGCCCAAAGTCTGCATTTGCAGCATGGGGATGGGGACATCACACCTGGACATCCATACTGGGATGTCAGCTGGGAGGAAGCTGGAGGAGTGAGGGATGCTGGAGTGACAGTGAGCTCCCAGGCACCCATGGGGCTGTCAGCTCTGACATCCTGTAGCACCAACAGGGCATCCTGTAGCACAGAGAGATGGGAGGCCTGCCCAGGTCCAGGCAAGGGCTGTGCTCCAGTGGCAGGAGAGTAATCAGCCTGTGACAGCCTGGTGCTAACTGATTGGTCTACAGTGACATGACGATATGCTCCCAGTTCCAGGGAACATCTTCCCAAAAGAGATTTTGTATGCTAATCCCTTCTGCCCTCATCAGCCAGGCCTCAGGCTGCTGGCTGCCAAGCTGCCAAGTTCCCAGCAGGAGTAACCTCTGCTGCACTGATAAGAGGGGATAAAAGCCACTCTCCCCAGGCTCCTCTGGCTGTGGTGGGATCTCCTAAGATTTCCCTGCAGCCAGCCCCTCCCTGGAGGCTGCTCCCCTCTCTGGGAAGGTGACACAGTGACCCAATGAGGATCATGCCTGGGTCCAGGTAAGCATGGACCACCAGTCCCCAGATGAGATCACCCCAGACCCCGGGGAGCAGGGAGTGGCTTCTCCAGCTCACCACCCTCATCTTGGTGAATCTATCCCCTTTGCTCTGCAACTCAGCTTGTGAAGAAAAACTGGGCACACCGATGATGGACAATGCTCTTATGCAAGGGATTACCACAGCCTGAAATACAGGTAGCTCTTTGCTCCAAAGCTCAGTGAGAAGAAGAGGTTCTGTTCTCCCCCATGGTTATCTCTGAAGTTACCTGTGGACTGCCCATGACCCCTGGGGCAGTCACAAATACCTCCCAATGCTCAGAGAACCTTCAGGGTTGGTTGTCATGTCAGCAAAAGCTTCCTTTTGGCAGCTGGGAATGGCTGAAGTAGACCATAGATTGTGTCATGGACATTAGTCCAACCTCTCTGAAAAGAGGATTATAAGAGCAAGTAATACACTCCTGTCTTGTTGATGTTTCTGCACCATGGGGAATTCAACAGAGACAAAAACTCAGGCCTATGAACTCTTCTGCTTAGCTGCAAAAGTTCTGAAATACAGTCAAGTCTTGGGCTCCTGGTATTTTGATTGGTTTTGCTGTCATATCTTGAGAGATAACTCTTAAATTACACAGTACCAACCAATCAACATCCTGCTAAACTGGGAAAAAATCCCTTGTTGCAGTAAAATATTCTATGACTAACTGCATTAACAGGTTTGTCTCTCCTTCAGAAAGCTGTTTTAAGGAAATTAAGTTGGTAATGAAGACAAATCATGTGTCTTTAGTAAATCTATACTCTAATCAGATGAGGTAAATACCCAGAGACTAGCTATGGGGGCTGTATAAATACTTCCATAGATAGAGGCATCAAGAGATGAAATGCAAAGATATTTATTATTTTATGAGGCTTATTCCTTTCTCTAGGACTTCCTTTCACATCTTAAAGAGATGTGCTTCAATGAATGTCAGTAAATTGTCTTTGATGTAGAGAAAATGCCACTAGTTTTGATAGATTTGATCTTTTTAAAAAAAAACTGGATACTAAAGTATTTTCTGTAGTGCTGGTGACCTTTAATGTCACATTACTGAGTCTCAAGTGGCCATACATGGCTGTGACAGAGCAAGGGCTCTATGTGACTCAGGGAGTCCCATAACACAGGAGCTCTCCAAAGGTATTAAGTGTTTGGCACAGAGTCAAGACGCTGTAGATTCTACGCAGTTTGTTTCATATCCAAATGCTTTTTCCATTTAGCTTTTTGGTGATTGATTGATACCATTGCAGGTACCAGGAATATTTTCTGAGCCTACTGACTGTGGAGGGTGCCACTGCCTGTTTCAGTAGTTGCGCATAAATTGGCATTTCAACCCTCTGGGCTGCTGAGATAGACAATGCTAATACATGCAGCCAATGAGAATTACATTTGCCAGGGCTGACCCTGGGAATGGGCAGCCAGCCAAGGTTTCACAGCCTCAGTGATGTCCTCAGAGATGAAGGTGAGCGGGTAGCCCCAGTTGCTTGTTTTAAGATAGAAAAGCAACAAAGATAGTTGCTTTCAGAGAAAGGAAGATAAACACATTGATCAGAAATCTGTCCTGCTTGCACAGCAGATTATGAAAGCTTTTATGAGTGGAAAAAATAAGGACAATGCTGAAAGTACCTGTGAGAGGACCGGACTGGCCCAGGAGTTGGCTGGAGGACACCTGAAGTTCAGATGAGCAGAAATGCTTTCTCTTACAGTCCTTTCTGCAAGAAGTGAGAAGGAGGTCGCA